ATGCACCTATTCTGCAGAAGCTGGTACAAACTTGTAAACCTGTAAATATTGTCACAAGGTCACAGGGACAAAAGCAGGAGGAGGAACAATGCAATGACCAGGTGCCAAAGGCTGAGAGTGGTGTCAGTGCAGTCCTGAAGCTAATTAGTGAGCACATGTATGAGAATCAAAATGGGGCGGAGGACCAGAGCAAGCCATCTGACACTTTCTCTGAATTGCCATTTTTTGCGGAGGTGTTGCCAGAAGTTGCCATTAAAGCTAGGAAAAGCAAAAGACAAAGAAGAATAGACAAAATGACGGGGACGATTAAAAATATTGTTGAGCTGCCAGTCCCAGGTAGTGGAGAAACTGTCCAAGAAGACTATTCAGAGCTGCAGAAACAGGATGTGACATTGGAAGGCCCTTTTAAACAGGCAGCAGAAGTGCAGCCCGGTCAGTTGATAGAAGAGGATTAATACCTCAAAGGACAAGTGTTGTACTACAAAGGCAGCAGGGATGACAAAGGGAAGTTAGTAGTCCCCCAGCAGTGGCGGGAGCAAGTTTTGAGACTGGGGCATAGTATTCCCTGGGCGGGGCATCTGGGAATGCAGAAAACAAGGGACCGAATAGCCAGCAGGTTCTTTTGGCCAGGTATGAACAGAGAGGTTGGGGAGTTTTGCCAGTCTTGCTCAATCTGTCAGCCAGCCAGGGATAAAAAAAAGTCCCAGTTTCCTTTATAGCCTTTACCCGTTATTGAGGTTCCATTTACTCATATTGCAATGGATATAGTGGGGCCACTAGAGCGAACCCAGGCAGGTAATCGCTATATATTGGTGGTTTGTGATTACAGTACCAGATACACAGAAGCTTTTCCCCTTAGGATTATTACAGCTAAACCGATAGCTTATGCCCTTTTGCAGCTTTTTTCCCGAGTGGGTATTCCGTCTGAGATTTTGACAGATCATGGAACAAACTTCCTTTCACATACCCTGAGGCAGGTTTATAAGCTTTTAGGTATTAGAAGTATCCAGACCACCCCAAACAGATGGCTTGGTGGAGAGATACAATCGAACTCTGAAAGCAATGTTGAAGAAGTTCATCTCAGCTAATGCCAAAGACTGGGACAAGTGGCTTCCCTATTTGCTGTTTGCTTATAGGGAGGTGCCTCAAGCCTCAACTGGCTTTTCACCTTTTGAGCTCCTTTATGGCAGGCAGGTGAGAGGACCATTGGATGTTCTGCAGGAATCCTGGGTGAGCTGCACATTCTGCAATGCACAGTCTGAATTTGATGCTTTTCCTCTACCCAGGCTGGAAGATCTGATCGATCGTGTGGGACAAGCAAAGTTCCTCACTACGTTAGATCTATGTAAAGGATATTGGCAGGTGCCATTGTCGGATGCTGCAAAGCCTTTAACTGCCTTCAGAACAGGATGCTGTTTGGCCTGCATGGGGCGCCTGCGATCTTCCAAAGGTTAGTGAATAAAGTGTTGGCAGGTATGGAAAAATTTGCTGCGGCCTACCTGGATGACATTTTCATTCACAGTTCTTCGTGGGAGGAACATCTGACTCACTTGGAGGCAGTGTTTGGAAGAATCAAGGAAGCCGGCATGACAGTATACCCTGGCAAAGCAGGAGCTTGAGTATCTGGGTTACAACATTGGAAACGGTGAAATCAAGCCAGTCAAGGATAAAGTGAAGGCCATCCGGATGAGGGAGAGACCTCACACCCACAAACAGGTAAAGTCTTTCCTTGGACTATTGAGCTGGTACCGACGCTTCATTCCAAACGTTTCAGAGAGGGCGGCACCCTTGTCAGATCTCACCAGTACAGTAAAATCTAAACTGGTGAGGGGAGAGGAGCAAGAGAAGGCCTTCAAAGATTTGAAGGCCTTCTCTGTGTTATGAACCTGTGCTTCAGAGTCCCAACTTTGACTTGCCTTTTACGGTACAAACTGATGCTTCTAATTGAGGAATTGGAACTGTCCTGTTGCAGGGCGTGGGAGAGAACCAGAGACCAGTGGCCTTTATTAGCAGAAAGCTCTTTCCAAGGGAGACCCTGTATTCAGAAGTAGAGTTTGAGTGTTTGGCCATGAAGTGGGCTATTGACACGCTGAAGTATTACCTGCTCGTGAGGAAGTTTGTCTTGGAGACAGATCATAAGGCGTTTCAGTGGTTGGAGCGGATGAAGGATACACACAACCGGATTACACGCTGGTTCCTGTCTCTACAACCATACCGGTTTATCATCCAATATCGACCGGGAAGGCAGAATAAGGTGGCTGACTTTTTGTCTCGCGTGACAAAATGTGAGGGTGCTGGGGAGCATCTCCCTGACTAAATGATGTACACACTCACGGTGTCTAATAGGAAGTTTTGATTTTGTTATAAGTCCATTAACCTCTCTCTCTCTCTCTCCCTTGAAGTCAACTTCCTGAAGGCCTTAGTCATGGAGTGCACACACGATTATGGCCTAATGATGTTCACCTGAAAGGAGTTTTCCAATCACCCACTGATAGTGGGTTGAACCATCTGATGAGAGCTGAGGGGGGAGTGGGTTGAATTTTCAGTTTGATTTGATTTAGTTAGTTGGGATATTGTTTAGCTGGGGGGTGTTTTGTAATCAGATATTTGTGAGGTGTGTCAAAATAACTGCAATGTTTCACTGTATAGGTTTTTGTAGCTGGGCTGTGTCGGGGTGGGAAGACCTTTTACATTTTATTGGTTGACCAGCATCTATTTAAGGAGAGGTTTGTTGAGAGGTTCGGGTGGTTATTTCTAGATGTGTTGCTGGTGGGCATGACAAAAAACCTCTGTACCAGAAAAAAGAGAGAATATATTCAAAGCTTTGAAAACAATCGAAGGCTTGTGTGGTTGTTTTTTTCCATTTGGCCCCTTCACATTGCCTTGCCACCACCACACAATGTAACAAATATATTCAAATAAATACATATTTTAATGCATAGCTTATTTTGGAACTAATCTTTCAGCAATTGAAATTAGTCTGTCCATCCTCTGCTCTCCTGCGCTCTCCCCTCCTCAGCCTCTCTTTGCTGCCTCGTGTCCTCTCTGATGAGGTCTTGCAGCTCATCAGCTGTCTCTTCACCTCTGTCTCCCTGTTGTGGGTGGCTGACTCCCTCATCGCTTTCGTTTTGGTCACCCACTGCTGCGCTTGGCCCTGGAGTGTCCTCAGGGAGAGAGGAAATTAGGACAGGAGCCTAATTGAAGGCGTCTGTCCTATCACCTCATGCATGAGGGCAAACCAGGCCAAGCACAGCAGTGGGCTTCCCACTGACTCCCTCTCCTGAGCCTGGATACTTGCAATTCCAGTGTGTGAATGTGAGAGTGAATGAATAATGGAACTGTAAAGCGCTTTGGGTGCCTTGAAAAGCGCTGTATAAATCCAATCCATTATTAATTCTAAAGGCAGAGGAAATCAAAAATGACGGTAGACAAATAAAAAAAAACACAACTCTTAGTAATTGTACATTTATTAACTTGTGTTCTTAAGAAGTATCTTTTTGATAACACACATATGTACTTTGTATTTGTTTTAGTTATTGTATTTCTTTCTGGCCTGCATGGGGGTGACTTTCCCCTGCAGGCCCATCTTCTCCAGAATTGTCCTGATCACGCACAAAAAATAAGAGAAGAGAGAAAACCATGGCAACTATGTTAATGCCTAAACCCAAACGTTTTCACACCAGAACACCAGAGGAATACCGTCTGGACATCACAGGTTCTTTGCATCAGAAGGGTTAATAAAATCGTAGTCATATGAATATGATGTGTAAATTGATTTATTCCTGTACCTCCATGCCACAGTGGCCAAATTCTTCACCCCAGTGAAAACAGGATCATTTTTCCTCATTTCAACAACAATATCACAAAAAGGTTCATTTGAAAAAAAAAATCAAAATTCGAAGGATAAACTCGATCCATCCTTGAAATTCGGGGAAAACAGGGACACATTTGTCGCCACATTTGGAGGACTCTTCGAATTTGAATTCTTTCATTTATCTGTAAGTAGATTTCCCTGAACCAGTTCCCGAGTTTCCTGGATGACTGAGCATGTGTGTATGCCGAGGAGTGTAACCACCAGTCTGTGTGGAGAGTATCGGAGTGGAATGACTGAGCGAAGGAGTGGAACTTGTGGAGCGAACGGATCGAGGAGCGAGTGTGGAGTGTGTTTTTTCCCTCCCATCTGCCGTGGATCCCGTCCTCCCCTTTGTTATCCTGTCAAATGGCTGTGATGGGGTTGAACTAATTGAAGGCAGGTGTATTTGATTGCACTGATACTCTAGTCTACTTATAGCCCACACTATAAACACTGCTGTGATAGTTTGTCTCTCTGTGCAGGCCAGGGTCTACTACATGCTGCAGCCTAAAGGCAGAGTTGAGTTGCTGAGGCTGGAGTGATTACTGGCCTTCTAGTTACAGGGTGGTGTGTAGCGATGCCCAAACAAAGCTTTCTGTATTGAAGTATTGAAGCTTGTGTTTAAAAATGGTTCATTACTTGAGGCTTTTCACCACAGTCATCTTTGGTGACATCCGGTGGCCAAAAATATGAAGACCAGCTTGAATCTACAAATAAAAATGTACTGCTTCATTATAACTGCTCACTCTACAGAGTGGAGTTCACAATTCTGTCTGATACTGGGCTACCCCTGTATTGCTTTGAACATGTATTTTTGGGGTGAAAATTATCTATTTGTTTAATAAATTTGATCAATAAACTTTCCTTATTTAAACATGTGCCATGATAAGTATAAGTTTATTGAAACAATAAACTTTATTGAAACAAATACACATAACATTTTTTTTTTTTTGCAAATACAAAAATGTTATTAAAGGTATAGTTTGTGACAAAAAAACAGGTATTTTAAAACTTTACTTACAGTGTAGACACCACCACCACCATTGTCGCTTGTGTTTTGAAATGCATTCTGGGATACATGGCTGCCACAAGAGCCCTAAGTCCACGTGTGGCGGGCTGGGGGAGGGTTTGTGCTGGCAGACGTGGGTCACTGGCCTGGTAGCCAATCTGCCCCTGGGTGTTCCGGGGCGGGCTTGGGTTTCTGGGGGTGCTCCACTTCCGGGCTGGGGCTCTGGCTGGCCCCTGGGGGCTCGGGTCCTGGTTGGTGTATCGCTGGGGTTGTGGGTGGGTGGATGCACGGGGGCCCAGCCCTGGTGCAGGGGGATTCTAGTGCGCTGGTGGAAATGGGGGCCTCTTCAACTGGCGGGTAAGATGTCACATCCTTGCAGGAGGTCTCTGCTTTCCAGGAATCCACTCTGCACGTAGGGGAGAGGTACAGGAAAGGTGGAGAATGAACTCAACCTGGGTGTCTATTGTCTTATGTAGTCTGGTAGCTGATTGGATGTTGGGGTGGGCGTAGATTCCTCTGCGGTGGGGTTGGGTGGGCCCCCCCGGGCTCTGCTGGGCTTAGCGGTGCTGCTGCTGTGGGCCCCTGTCCAGATGGGCCAGAGTCCCCCAGCCTTGGTGGATTCCTGGGAGAGGGGGTGCCTACTGGGGTCAGGGGGGGAGCTGGACCCAGGGCACTGGGCCCAGTGCCCCACCCCCATTCCTTCCCTCTCCATTCCCAACTGCCTCCCTCTTCCTGCTCCATCACAACCACACATACAGGGCCTTGGGGTACAGGTGTGTCACTGAGGTGCAGGGGAGGCATTCCTCCTCAGTCCTCTTCTGGTCATCTGTGCCTCAATTTTATTCCGCAATCTAGACATCCACATTACTCATAGTGTCATAACACATACATATAGAGATTGACAGACTTTCGCGCATTGCATGCCGGGAACCTGTGGTAAAACAATCCAAGTACCACATCAAATGCAAGCATTTGCAGCACCGCAAAACGTTCATTCTCCCGTTCCAATACCTTCTTGGTTTTTCTTTGCCCCTCAAAAAAGTAATGTACAAAACGAAGGAGAACAATGCCGGTCCATAGAAAGACAGACTCGACGAAAAGGCAAAGAAAAGATATGAGGAAAAAATCAAAGGAGTGAAAGGGTTAGACCCTTACAGCACACAGAGTGAACAAAAGACGTTAGCGTGCTGCCCAACTTTCACCACGCTCATATTTATGATTATACGGTTCTTGGAGTGAGTACATACACTCATGAAGTTTAGTAACTTGAGGTCACTGCAACAAGCCCAGGTACAGTTTACCAACGGATGGGTACAGAACCTTGAAATGCACCGTGTAGAACTAAAGACCATTGTACGAACAAAGGTAAGTTTACCTCACAAATCGTCTTCATAAATACAGATTCGTTAACCGTTTATTAATAGGACCTTTGAGCTCAACGGTAATTAATTAGTAGTGGAAATAATTTCTGGTAGCATTACAGAAATGTAGCAGTGACAATAATACTGTATGCTGTAATTGTACTGGGCAATTAGTGATACAAAAAACCTGTTTTATCCTGTGAATAAAAGTATATGTTTTTGACAATGTACCATAATAACAGAAGTGAAACGCAATATTGTGTCAGGACAATTCACTATTTATGCACAATAAATAAAGGAGCATAGCGCGACCATTTCTGTTCAGCGCCAGACTTGCTTGTAACCTATATCACCAATTATGTTAAGAAAAATGACGTATTAACTACTACAAAACTCTGACCTTTGTGGGAATGCTTGGAGCAGACTAACCTGTGAGCTGGAGGGTTCTGGGAAGTTATATTTGGTCTTTGAATGGCTGCAATTCAGGCCACCCGTTGCCTCTTTGTTACTTCGGAAACATGGCTCGAACAATTTCTCTTCAACGACGTAATCCGATAACAACCGATCTCTTTACCCGTCGGCTTCCCGTGGCTGTCATGCGACCGGCTATTGCAGTTAATAATACAACAGCTTCTTGCCATTTTTTGTGTTTCTTTTTATCGCTGTATAACTGATTTCAATTTAAAGCCTGGGTGCGCTAGTACCTCTTGCCACGAGTTCCCAGAATCCTTTGCAGTTTTACCCCTGAATGACGTCACATTTTCAATCTCTATAGGGCTTTGGGAGTGGGCATGATATACGGCATCGAGAGTACGGTTTGTATATCCAATTTAACCTCTGGGACCGGTGTCCACCTCTCAATTCTAAATGCATGTAGACATTGAGGGTTTTTGGGAGGGGCCGTGCTGACACCTGCTGCTTTCTGGCAGGAAACACCATGCCCCTCCCATGGTTTAAATGCACTTTAGCACAGCATGCAGCAACATGACATATGAGCAGGCGGAGTGAGGATGTGGTCTTCACACCCCCGTTCTCTGTACAACATCGGGGCAGGGGACTGGGTGGAGTTGGCAGTCTGGCTGGGGTGTGGGATGCTGGGCCTCTCTGCGGCTGTCAGGCCAAGGGCGGTCTGCTTCCCTCCACCCCAAGTGTAGCATCTCGTGGGTCTGGGGTTGATTGCCCCCCTGTGGGAGTATAGAGTATGTTTGGGATGTGTGAATGGGTGTATAGTGTTCATATCTGTTCTGTCTCTAGGTTGGGTGAGTGCTGAGTATTTGTATTTGTGTGCATGAGGGTGGGAATGTATGCTTGTGTCTGTGTGTGCCAGTTTGTGTTTGTCTATATGTCAGGTCGAGTCTCCATCTCTGCTTCTCAGGCCCCCCAGGTGTGGAGGCCTGTCTCCACCCACCACACTTCCTGCCGTTGGCTGATGCCCTCAGTCGTCAGTGCGTTGGTGGTTCTCGGCGTTCGGGTTGGGCACACAGGTATGTACCCAGCTCACTCCCGGCGGCAGCCCTGGCGCCCATGGCCAGATGGGGTCCCTCGGATCTCAGGCCTTTGGGACCAGGGCTCAGTCCGCTCTGGGACGACTGGCTGCTGACAGGGCCTGCGGGCTTGTCACCACAGCCCCTTGTGGTTTCTGCACCATGGCTACTCCTCAGCTGGGGCTCTCCTCAACTCTTCCCGGGAAAGTGGCGCAGTTGCCTCTCCGATGGTCTTCCTTGGGCTTTCACGTTCTGGGAAGGCCTGTCGATGTCCGGGCCTGGGTCTCCTCCATGTCTACTTCATCCTCTGGGGAGCAGGGCTATAGCTCCCCACACCCTCTAGCAGATCATTACATGGATAAACCTTTTGAACTCAAGTGGCTCACGCACACAAGTGTACATACAGGTGCTCACAGACACAAAATATCTACCTTGGCTGCTACCTTAAAGCATATTGTAAAATTATGATATTATTTTATGCCATGTTAGACCCCGAAATAAAGATTGTGAATTATTATGTAGTTTAAGTTGGCATTATTCTCCTGAATTAGAAGAAGGTGATAATTATTGCAGTATTTAAACTGATTTGCATTGCATTAGACTGCTGATTTATTGTGAATGAATGATATTGTTTATG